CTGAGACACAGATAAATCCCCAGGTAGTTTCAACAACTCTTAAAGTGTTAATGACTGGCTGACTGAAAAGAGTTAGGGGAAGAATGTTATTTTAATAATCAATAAGAATCACAGGAGAGTCTTTATTCTAAATTAATTTTATTTATCTCACTGTCTCAGCTATCTCTTTAACTTTTAGCACAAATCCATGATCCAGTGAGACTGGAAACTATGGGAAATACCTTGTAACAATAGATTGCTAAATTGCACTTCTGCTAAGCTATCAATTAACAATAGCAAAACCAAATACCAAATCCAAGTACCTGGGCAAGAGCAGTTAACCAGACAAAGAACCTGTTTAGTCACACTGCCCCACACCCAAAAATAGGTTGCCCAAATACCATCTACCCAACAAAAGGCAAGCCAACTGACATGAGGAAGAAAATTTTGGCAGTATCATACTACAACCAGCACTTCATACCGTTTACCCCCCAGGCTCATAAACTTTCTGTACCCCCATTTTTTCTGCAGTTATCCTCAAGAGCAAACCTCTTTGCTTTTGGGGATAAATGGATTGTCTCCTTTCCACCAGCAATGTGCCTTGAGTTTTATTTGCTTGCAATATCCCAGCTTAGAAAAGGGACCTGGAAATTCTTTGAACAGAGTATAAATCCTTCCTTCCCCATCAGTCAGTTAGAAATGAAGAAGCTCTTCAGAGGTGAAGTGAAATGTTTCAAGAAAAATCAAGAAAGTGTAGTTGCCATTTGAAAAATAAAAGCATCTTTGGGATATACAATAATAACCTTTTCAAGTCATCAAAGTTTTGTGAGTTTCACATTTCTCTGCATTAGACTAATAAAGTATCTCTCCGAAAAGTGATTTTCAGGCAACTCTGAAGGGCAACACACAATTTATAAATGAATTCCATGGAGATCAACCAGGTTACCTAGACAGGTGAGTATAAAAGAAACAAAAATTAAAGCCAGTGTCAAGCAACTGGCTTAAGGTATGTTCAAAAATAGTTTACTTTTACATAGAATACAAATATTTGAATTCCTCAAGAAAGCTTTTTTTCCAGTTTCTATCTTTGCATGGTGAGTGATCTTTACAATGTACCAAAGCCATTGTTTGTATGACTATCTAAGGCTAGCCATTGTTTTTATGACTATCTAGTTTTAATCCTATTTTGATCTGAAACCATTTCAGTCTGTTGCACAAAAAGTTTTCTGGAAAATGGACAAATTGATAATTCCGCAAAGAATATTTTATTTAGCTCAAATATCTACAAGTGTGGGCCCTCCAGTTTTTCTGTCAATGACCTCCAGATCACTGGTGGGATGAGGGGAAAGTCCTACTTTAGGGGAAGCTATTCTAAACTTTGCTTAACTTCTCATTCTTAAATTTAAAGAAATCTTCCATTTAGGGATTTCTGGCAACAGTACCATCATTGCATTCTGTTGGAGTAAAACAATCAGTGTTAAGCACATACTTATAATAGAAAAACAAACTATATTAGAAAGCACCCAGTATAATTTCAGGTTTCAACCAAGGGTTGGGTTGTTTTTTGTTTTTTTTATTTTGCTTTAAAGCAGTAAAAAAAAGAAGCTTACTTGTCTACACAAACTTTTTTACAATTATGGAGAAACTTTACAACTTCTTAAAAGATGCAGGCAAGGACTCTGTTCTTGGGGTGAGGAGGTGGAGATGTCTGAGAAAAAGATAATGCTATGAACGGAAAAATAAAATAATAAAGAATACTATTGAATTGGCTATAGAAGTAAAGCTTGTGGAAAGCTTTTGCTGCTGCAGAATAGAAACAGTAATACAGTTTCAAAGCACCTGAGGGAAAGTTTGGTCAATAACAACAAATCCAGCATTTCTTAATATTCAAACTTTCACAGTGAAATAGAGAATTTATTTAGCAGGTTTCCAGCATTTAAAACGCTTTGCAGACGTTGCTTGAGCAACTCGGGTAACCCTATAAAGTCGTTCAAAGTTATTATTACAATACTGTGCAATGACAGACGGGGAGGGGGGGGGAGGTGTGGATCAGAGGTGCAATGTGCAGCCAGAACTCCCCGCCGAGGATCATCACCACTCTCGGATTAGTCCCTGTTCTGGCCGAAAAAGCGCACAAGAGATCGAGCTGCTGGTCCAACAACACTCGCGGCGCAAAACCGAGGGAGGGAAGGTAGCCACCTCACATTCAGAAAGTTAGAATTAGCACGGGACAAAGTGAGAGCCAGTTTGGCGTAGTGATTAAGACACCAGGAAACCATGAGTTCCAGCGTTGCCTCAAGACACGAAGCCAGCTCGGGCTAGACACCCTCGCTCTGCCTTGGGAAGCGGGCAATGGCAAACTAGTTCTGAAATCTTGCCAAGAAAACTGCAAGGACTTGTCCTGGCAGTCTCCCGGAGTCAAAAAGCCAAGCAGGGCGAAAGCGAAAGGGTCTGTCGGAAAGGCAATTCCACCTTGCCAACCGAAAATGCCCACCGCTCTATCTGGAGCAGCCGCTCCCAGGTCGAACCAGCCCAGGTCCTTCGAGCAACCTTCAGTCCCCAGATTGCCGGGGGACTGCCAAGCCCAAAGCAACCACCAGCTTTACCTCATCCTAGGAGCAGTTCGGCAGGAACTTGGACCGGCGACCAAGGGCCGGGTCTCACACGCCCACCCTAGTAGGCGCCCTGTGAAGGAACCGCAGGGAGAGCGCGGCGGAGGCTCCCTCCCAGCCACCCTCGAGGCAGGAGGTTTGTGTTGCGGAGCGCTCGTCTCCCGTGGCGAAATGTGACGGGCTGGGATTCCCCAGCCTGCCAGCCTGCCTGTTTCGGCGCGCGGCTGCCGGAGCCCCGCCTCACGAACTTCTTGACTTACCCGCTAGCGAGGCAGCCCCGGCCCTTTCCTTTCCCCGAAGTGGCGATGGGTTGCCCCGCCCGCTCTGCAAGCTGCTTTTCGGGAGTCTCCAACCGGCTTGCCAGGAGCGCTGGGTTCTCCGCGCAAGAAAGTTCGCCGCATCGCACCGGGTCTTCTTCCCAGGCCTGACCCTCCACCCCCCCCTTTTTTTTTTTTTTTAAGACTAGCAGAAATAGCGTACAATACTAAGGTTTAGAAGTTTGCAGCCTGGAGACAAAAAAAATAAAATAAAGTTGTGTAAGGCACAATTTGCCTTCCCTGCCTGATCAGTTTAAAGGATTTACGAGTAATACAAGACCAGCTTTGGGTGCCTCCACTACATTCA